GGAGAGAGAGGGGAGAGAGAGAGAGAGAGAGAGAGAGAGAGAGAGAGAGAGAGAGCCGCTCTGCGTACTCAACTCTGGTTAGAAACAATCAACGATACCGTGAGTAGTTTCACTTCACACTCTTACGGTACAACACGTACCTGCTCGCTCGACGCGTCGTCAGCGTTGTCACAGGTCATCAGAATCGTCGGCTGATCGCTGAGCGTTGCGACCTGTTGCAAATAATAAGGCGGTTAATTATCGCATACAGTTAATCACTTATATGGGAATCGAGAGAGAGCCGAGAGGGAGGGTCAAAGGGAGGGAGGGAGGGAGGGGAGAGGGAGGAACGGGGAGAGCTGCCTCTCGTACTCATTTTTAGACATTGTTCACAAAAGACGATGAATATATTTTCCCATCCACGTTCGTTTTCCCTACTAACTTACCAGACCGTTTGCCAGTTTATAATTGTTCAGCACGACATTGTGGCGAAGATTTCGCTCCGGTTCCCATGTAGGGCTTCTGAAACAAAGCAGCATAATATGCATTAATTATGTTTGGGTGTTGCATAACCACAGCTTGTTGTACATCCTGGCCCAATTCACCTGATCAGGAAATTCCGGGTACACAACAGAATGGAGTTGAACGTCGGCCGAGAGGTGGTGTAACAAGATTGCCACATGCAGAGAAACATTTGGAACATTTGGAGAAACATGTTTGAAGCTCGCACATTCGCGTAAAGGTAGAGTACCACACACTTGACATATCTCCCCTGTTAACATGAGCAAGAAAGGGGCCATGATAGGGGCCATACTGCCATGAGCAAGAAAAGGGGAACCAAACGGCTCGAACCGAACGTGCTATGATTACCGGTTGTGTCACTAGTCTGGCGCTCTCCCCACTGATTTGATATGTGCTTGTCGGTTTTTTAGAGCGCATTGGCTACTTCGGTTATTTTGCACCCGCGGGCTACTGATGAGGGTGTTATCATCAGTAGCTGCTAGGGCAGAAAGCAGCTTAGCTAAAAGGTAGTGTTAACAAAAACTCACTCTTTTGGGTAGCCGTCCCATTTGACAAGATATTCCTTCTTGCCTACAATGGTGCGGTGATCCAATATTCGGTCTACGATGAACAACTGTAATGAAAATAACCACAGATATAACACCACGGATATCATCCACATTTAAGGTCATGTGCAGAGGTTTACGTCTTATCGCAGAGATCGTGCTTTGACAGAATGGGTTGGGATATGAGTACCAAGAGATAGTCTCTTGGTCGTGACTAACGTGGATTGTCGTAGGATGATCATATCTATCGCAGGCGGGACGAATTACTTATTGGTAATTCGTCATGCTCTTAAAATAAGTTGAATGGTAAACCAGTCAAAACGCCGTAACGCATCCATGTATAAGACGTTGTTAGCAACTTTCAACATAATGCTGCAAAAGTACCGCAACCGATCAGTGCACAGTGTGGCTATAATAGTTGATTGTGAGCTGGCGTCACGCTCTGCAATGGGGGCCGGATTTAGTAGGGGCTATCTTCATTGCATCAAGGTAGTTACCATGGAATCTTAATGCGCCAGAAACCGCTACTTAAGTCGCACCCAACAGGGCCTAGGCAGATGGCATAACTTGAATGCCCGACACTCGAGCATTTTCATCATAGCCAGACACGGTCGGAACGCTAACGGACTTTACCCGACCTGGAACGCGGCCACTGCCACTGATGCAAGCGCTAGAGCGGCTTGAACCGGATTCTCATCACCAATTCAGGATTGGGCCCGTCCCAATGACCCACTGGGACGGGCGTTGCGGTTTTGAATCAATTTCGATTGGTTGTACATAACCCAAGCACAGTCTGTTTTCGGAATAAAATAGTTTTTGTACCGCAAAAACTTACAAAAATATAGGCATCACAACAGCTGAACGATATCAAGAAAACATCATTGAAGCACATCAAGCATGTCTTGAGGCAGTATTAGCTGACTGGCAGACAAAAGGTGCATCGGCAACCACTTGTTGCACACTTCAGTAAAAATAAGGCTATAAAAATATATAATTACATACTAGGTACGCATGCAATCCCAAGAAACAAAAAGAAAAAAATTATCATGCTTGCGCAATACATTAATGTAGTGAAGCCAAATATTCCTTACCTCTTGTCTTTTTCGCTTTCTACCTTGCTGCGGTTTCTTAGGCATCTGGAAAGTTGCAAAGAATCAAAGTAAGCAATTCAGGGACCAGTGCATCATTAAGGGTTCCTTCACCTGCCACTTGCTGATTGGATGAGGTGGCTGGGTGTGGTGTTAAAGGGACAAAATCGAAAAAACTTTTTTGGATTTTTTGACTAATATTTTCAAAAAAATATGTTTTGACTTTTGGGGGTTCAAATTCAAAAATTTCAAAATTTCGAGATAGCAGTTTAGTAGCCCTGGTAATTCTACACATTTTATGTCTTAGACATTTTTCTGTATCTTCAAAGATATAGGCCTGACAGCTCTTCCCGCGAAACCTTTTTTTTTTTTTTGGTCGAAAACGGCAGAACATGACGTCACTCTGACGTCATTTGCGGCCAACCTATCACAGCCTTTGGAAAAATTTTTGGTCACAATGTGTAAAATTGATGCCCGGGAGGGTCCTGAAAGTTTGGTGACGATCGGCGCAGCGGTTCTGGAGATATATTGAAAAGTCTGGAGGGGGGGGGGCAAAAAATAGCCCCCCCACCAGGGCGCGGGTTAAAGGGACCCTCCCACCTTAAAAAAGTTAATGAATTGGCATAAAAGTGATGTACCGTAAATCAGAAAGAGCGAAAATGAACATCTACCAAATTTCACCGAAAAAGATTCACCCGTTTTTGAAATATAGGACTTTTATTTTATAACGCGCGGTCAATGGGCTTGATGACGTCATCAGAGTCCGTTAGTGTTAAGAGATAGGGCCTTAGCTAAGGCCCACTTTTCAATTGAAGGGAACAAATTTCTTTAACCACGAAACTGAGGATATTGCGACCAGAATATATAGTGGTTTCTGAACCTGGCCGCCAACTTGGCTATCTCAACTCCTCAGAACTAATGCAAAGGTGGGACAGTCCCTTTAACAATAACCACAGTATGGTTTCCTGACACATAACATTTTGTGTTGGTCTTCACATGCAAACTAGGATTCCAAAATATCAAACGATTCTATGTGAAAACATACTTTTACTCAAAATTATCTGGCAGTATTTCATGATTGTCTCAGACTCAGTACAAACAAACTAAGCCACTTGGCCTATGTAAAAGTTGCACAAATCGTCCAAAACCATCAGGGTTAGCACCTGGAGAGCTCAACATCAGTGTAAGAATAATCTTACTGGCCCCGCCCATCAGCTTACTTGCATGAATGACACATTTTTAAGGTTTATTGAAGCCAACATTATTGAAGTCAACAAAGACTAAGACGTCAAGACGTCAAGACGTCAAGCAACCAGGTGATTAGCAGGCATTATTTTTCTGCCTAAAATGTGCTTGGATTAGGGGAGAGTACCCTAATTGTGCCCGCAAGATAAATGCGCCCTCCCAAGCTCCAGAAAAATTGGTACACCATAAGTACCTAGTGGTGGTTGCAAAAGTTGCCCACCTCGATCATACTTCCTTTTCCGGTGGAACCTTGGTAGAGGTAAGGCAGCATGAGCTTTAGTAACAATTTTGTTAAAATGTTGGGGTTTCTTAGTGTTGCCAACAAACTGTGCTCGTTTCGGCTGTAAGGAGCATGCTGATTGGCTGATGATGACGTGACTGCATTCCTTTATAAGACAGCACATTCCCGTATAAGACAGTCTTTTTGGAACGGAAAATTGAATATCTTTGCTTAGGGTGATCGTTGGGCCGTAAAAGCTTATGATTTGTGCTAGTCTCAGCGCAAGCTACAAAACTGCTATTTCAGTTCAAAACCCATGTTAAAAGTGAACTATTTCCTTTAATGACATGGGTAACATTAATAATGATGGCTAATATTCGAAAGGCTTAAGCAGATGACAAAACAACAAGCAATTTGAGGTCACTGTGCAGGTAAAAGTATACATTAAGTCCGAGTGACTGTTAAAAAATAAAGTTTTCATATTATTACGTTATTTGACATCCTGAATCCAAAAATGATACTTATATGTCCTGGAAATAAAAGAAAAACATAATCAAACCTGACCTAACCTTACCTATTTACCTACAACCTACCAACCTACAAACCTACAACCTAACAACCTACAAACCTACAACCTAACCTAACCTAAAACCTAAAATTTTTGCTGTTACATATTTGTATCAACAGCGTCACAATTATCCACTCGGACCTAATATATACTAATACCACTGTGCACTTCTGATAAAATTTCTAAAAAACAGATGGTAAATTAATGAAAGAATGACGCATCATACAACGCATTACCTACTTATCAATCTTATCTTTACAGCCCATAGCTAATGCATGTATTTGCGGTGGGCGAATTTGAATTCAATTGCGCCATGGTGTGGGCGCATTTATCGAAGGTATTCAACAATTGCGCCCTTTGCAACACTTTCTAAAAAGACCGTGTCTGACAAGTATGCGATAAATCAGTGTCTAAAAAATGTAGTAAAAAGGTTTTAAATATAATGTGAAAACAACTAACCTGTGCTGCCTTTGCATTCCAAACTGAAGCCAGTTTCGCTTAACGTGGCGCAATATGGGCACTCTCCCCTACCTGTCTCATGATGCTTATATAAATGTGCACTTTTCCATTGTCATTGACATTAATGCCCAACTATGGGCATGAATAATCAATTTTTGGATGCCTCCATTTTTGTATTCCTGTCCTGTAGTTTGCCCAGCTGAATTCGGTAGCACCGACGCCAAGCATGTGTAAACGATTATCGCCAGCAAAACGTACCCTTTATGTAGATATAGTATAAAAGCAACTGTTGTTACTTACCTTTTCAGGTCAAATGACTACCCACCCGCACCACACAACCACACACGAACGACAAAAGAAGGAGCTCAAACATCAAGGTGACGCGCTACTTGTTCGTCAGATTGCGGTTTCTGGAAAGTTCGCACTAGTAGCGACATCTCGTTTTCTGTTCCGGATGTTCATAGAGGGCGCACCCACGAAAGTTGCGCCTAAATGGGAAAAAACAATGTTTGTTATGGGCGCACTCGGTGAGTGATCTGTGCATTTTTTGTGCAGTTTACTCGAAAAAAAGGCAAAGTGCCGGAAGACCTCATGCTTCATTCAGCGGTTTCTATTGTTTTGATCTGACTTAATTGTTATCAACGGACATTTATCTACCTTTATTAAGTTATTTCAACACTGGTAGCGCTTACCTTTACTTTTAAATCCCCTAAAATCACGGTCTTAACTCAGCACACCCTGTCCATTTTCAGCGCTGTCGAAATTGCGGTCACGTGACTGCGCAGCTACTGCGCCCTAACTCGAAATCGGTGTCATGGTCGACATTCCTGATATGTTGATCCAACTCCCCAGGCCCTAGCTGGCAAACTCCTGCCTGTTTGATAGATGGCGTATCACTTAGCACATGAATAAATGGCTGGTCATATATCTTGTACCGTTAACAAATCCTTCACATACATCTTCAAAACAGTAAAACACTGGATGGAAAGTACTCCTAACTGCCCGGAGCGGTAATTGGAAATGGCTGACTTACCGATCAGACCGAAAATGCCGAGTCCTCCCCCGAGAAGGCCGCCAAGGCCCTGGCGCCGGTTGGACCCGAACAGACGATCGAGCCATCTGGAATTACAGTAATAAGTGATATATCAGATATAACTAAGAGATCAGATGTAGCTGATACAGATGTAGCTGTTCACAAATAGCTGTTCAGATATAGCTGCTTTGATATAGCTGAAGCGATATTGTTAAATTGTCCGGGCGAAGTCAAGACAGTGACTTTTTTGCCCACGCCACGGTTCAAGATAACATTTTTCTTGGTTAGGTTAAAAAACGAGTCATTCAATAAATGTTCGTGCTGCTAAATAAAAAGCTTTAAAGAGGCCACCATGACTAGGTTCTATGGTATAGTTCGAGTGAATGTGCAGAACTAATCCAATCATTCATCAGAAAAAAGGAGGTGTCATTGAACTTCCTGAAAATTTATGCTTTAAATTACACATACCCTTGACTCTGAGGGGGCTGGTACTGCTGGTCGTAGTAATTATTGTAGGCACCGGGGGCCGACTGGGCCACGGCCTGTGGCTGGTAGAAGCCCTCGTCGGCAGAGACGGCGGCCACCACGGCCAGCAGCAGACACACAGACAGCTTCATGGTGAAAACTGGAAGAAAAGACAACGTTTTAACAGACTTGTGCTGATGGCCACACAGGAGAAGGGGAAAAATAATCCTATCTGCTGCGTGGAACGCCTTCTCTGCGTTTCATTCAAGAAGTAATTCATGTAATCGAAGCACAATGTGGGCGAGGAAGCTTACGCGAATTTTAATAGACAAGTAACCTCGCGCCTCTTCGCTCAAACTCATCGGTGTCATTCAGTAGCTGTTATAGAAGCATCGCATTTCAACGTAGTTAATGCATCTTCGACTTCATGCAATAAACGACATAAAAAACAGTAAAAAGAAATAAACATTGACTAATATCATTTGCATTCCCTGGGTAACCAATGCGTCGGTATGATTATGATATGTCACACTGCCATTTGAAAAGGCATCGTCTTGTAACAGTACAGCGTAGAATAGCAGTTACAACTTCTACCAACAAGCCAACTATTCAACAAGCTATTATAATGCGGGTTTCTCCCGTAGCTATCAATTACCTTTCATGTACTTGTGTCAACAAAAAGAACACAATGTCGAAAGATCTTTGTCAATTTGTAGGTTTCGCACAACTTAAGTGCAGCTATTTAAATCGAAATAGTATCTTGTATCTGAACATCATATATGTGATTTTCATCGATGAAATCGACGTTTTAGAAATTAATTGGAGGATGATGTAACAGTTTCCTCAATAAATACTACCTAGCAATGTACCCGGAGAAAAGACAAGAGTAGTGGTAGATTGCGACCTTTTGCGATTTTCTTTTGACCAACTTTGTCCAAACTTTCAACGCTGTTTGAATTCACTGTGAAATATTTTCTACCAAAATGCACCCGGAGTGAGGACATGAGAAGTGGCAGATGGCGGCCAACGAGGCATGCGTCACAGATCGGCGGGTCCCTCGCGGCCCTCGCTGGGCAGCCGCCGCCGCTCCGGTCCACCGGACCGCATCACTGGACCGCCGCTGGCCACTCGGTCCGACCTCACTGCTCGAGCCACAACACTGGCACACATTGCCGCCCACTCGGCATCTGCACTCGGAAACACAGAGCTGTGGCAGCTCTGCGGCTGGCCGACGGGACCGGCGCCGCAGCTCGGCCACGACCCGTGCACCCCGGTGCCGTGGCGGGCACCCAGTCCGGTAGATGGGCCGGGCTGGACCGAGAGGTGCGGCCGGGCGAGGCTGGCGCCACCTCTGGGCAGCGGAGATGTGTCGGCTCGGGTCGCTCCTTACCGGACTGCTGGGAGACACTCGCCAAAATGAACAAGTGAAACCGCATCACCCAACCTTTTATACTCGCCGCCCCTTGCGAAAGATGCGCTTCCTGACTCCTCTCAAACGATTTTCTTGATTGCTGCTTCGCACAGGGTGCGGCGGTTTGGGGATAAATTACAACAGATGTTCCGATAGATGGAGAGAGATTTCAAGGCTCGAGGGTGGTATGCGATGTAACACATCATTTAAGTCTATGTAGGCATAGTGTATAAAACCATCTATGCTTATATTGTTGACAAATCAATCACGCGTTGTTCCGTGTTAACTCTTTAACCCATCTCCGAGACAAAGGGACGAGCTTCCGCAACGTATGTAGGTATCTCCCGTCGGGCATAGAACCGCCGGGTAACACGATCCGCGCAATGGTTTTCAGATTTCTCATTTCACCAAAGATATTGCAGTACAAAAAATCGGACTCGGACATTGAAAAGATGTTGTCTCCTTCACCTGGTGTCAAGCCGGAACTGCAATGTTCCGCGACATTTGCCAGCGCCCTGCGAGCACACCATCAACGACAGCGCTTCAAAGAAACAAATTAGGTGAATACACATATATTGCGCCGCAAGACATATATTTCAACTTGCAACAATTCAGAGTGCTATGTGCAATGCTTTCTGAAAGAGTGGGCACAACTAGCCCTTCACCCTTTCTTCAAAACCGAAAATTGTGATTATATATCTGATTGTGGGACGCATTTTGTTCATAATTTTATCCTTTTATCACAAATAAAGAAGCTAAGGTAAAGTGATGGTATAAAGGCTCGGTTTTTGTGCATCGAATCGCTGAAAGTTGCGCTGATGTTAAAGAGTCCTGGTCAAAGCCGGTTGTCTGGTTTGCGGCAGGTCAGGACTCAGGGCTCCGTTCCAGTCAGAAACCAATTATCATTGGAGGCCTGGGAACTTCTGGCCCAGCGGATTTCACCGTGTGGTCTTAACGGGAACCACCGCATGTGTTTTATCGATCGTTTCACAACAGTGTCCTTATAGCTGCCCTTAGCTATTTATGAAATCCGACATTGGAGTTTTCTTTTTTATTTTGGTCGGGCCAAAAAATAGTGATTATCCTTTCACATTTTGCACCGAAAAACGGGGTCACGCCTATTTAAAGTGGCGCACCGTCGCACCGTTACAAAATGTATGTCCACACCACCGAATGAGCCGTTCTATGTTGTAGGAGTTAAAAAGGAAGCGCGGCTAAACGGCTGATGCGTCCTGCCGCAATTTTTCGTTCGTTAGTTAGTTTACTTGTTGTACAAAAAAAGTTCTGTCTGGCTTATTTTGATAATGACCTGTGGTCGAAATCATCAATAATTATTTCATTATGTCTTCATTTGGTATTTCATTGTAAGGAGGCCATTCAAAAGTGTTTTTTTCTCATGATTTAGTTTACATTGATTCACGAGTTACCTGCTCGCGCGTTTACCGACCCTCGCACCCAGCAAGTGGCGGATGGCTGAATGCCCTACCAACAGGGGCGGAGCTTCCTATACATTTGGTGGGGCGGCTGCCCCACCAACTAGGTATCTTGCCCCACCAATAAGCGTTTTGCCCCACCAACTTTAGCTGATTTCTAAGACTTTGTTGCTTTGCAAATTAATCTTTTTTCGCATTGAATAGCTTTGGAATGCCTGTTTGATGCAAAATAATATGTCTGTAATGATAGGAATTGATTCAGTGTGGCATTTTATTCAACTTTATAATCGGACATTGTGGGTTTGACGACTTTTTGCCCCACCAACTTCCCTGGAAAAGCTCCACCCATGCCTACCAACATACCCTGCTACCAACTGCACGGTTGATATGTATGTAATATACGAGTATGTAAATAATGTACCGGAAGTTTCCCGCTAACCTGTGATAGTTGGAGACAATCACATATTTCCTACCACCTGCGGCACCCAAGATGCCGCTACCAGTGGACTGCCACCCGAGTGTTCAAGTTTATTCTTCAACTATATAGTCTGGCAAACCTAAGAAAGAACGGAAAGCGCATCAATCACTTTGAACGTGTTTTTATCACTTGAAATGTATGGTTCGGAGAAATTTGTGTGAAAAGTTGTGACCGAAAATATACTCTCAGAATATAAATGCACATGCATCAACAATCTTGGAATCAACGGCCGCAACACTTTAAATCCATTATTGCTTAAGTTTGCCAGACTATAATAGTTTTCTGCGAGCGGTAATAGCCGCCAGCATATAACAAATTTGACAAATTGATAGTCTGGGTGTGCGAGCGCAAGCTCCTCCCACCCTCCCTCTCCACCTATAGCCCTTCGACCGCCCCAGCGCAGGCTCCTCCCCTCGGCCAAGATCCGAGCTCCCCTCCCACCACACTGGTGCAGGCTCCTCCTACTGCCGCGCTGCAGGCTCCTCCCCTTATTATCACATTGGTAAATGGTGCAGACTCCTCCTATCACTGCCCGGTGCACACTCCTATCACTG